GAGAGCATCTTCTTTTCAGTAGAACAGCCTTAAAAAGCACAAGGAGGTTTTTCGGCTCTTTTTACTACAGATTCACGACAGACTCTAGCTGTGCAGAAGGAATCGTAGTATTCAGCTTCATTTTCAAATGCGATGTGGCAATTTAGTGGTTGTTCGCTCTTAGACATGTCGGCTTTTGAAAAGCTGAGCTAATCATGCGCACTGATGGGTAAAGCCTTCGGCTGCAAGAGGGTCAGTATCATGTACATGTTTCCTGGCATATTAGAGTGAGACTTACAGTAAATGCTGAAATATCGGTTCGGCCTCACATACCATTCAGCAAAGAGAAGATCTACACTTACTGAACAGTATTGAACATATTGAACAATGGGCAAATCACCCTCGGACACGTTACTTTACAACAGTCTTTGAAATGAGGCACATCTTTTAACACAAATGCTTTTGAAAGATCGCCCTTAGCATATCTCTCACCAGTTTCATCCCTAACTACCGAATTCTTGAGGATTGTTTCGTTCCGACGAAGGTAGCATCTTGAAGTGAAGAAAGAGATACCGCAGTTTTTGGACAAGACAGCACTATCACCGTATAAAGAACCTGTTAAAGCTGCTTGCCTACCTTTGTTGGTCTGGTGTGAGAGTCCTTAGAAACTAGTTTGCTATTTCCGTCCAAGGAGGTGTCTCAGAGCTCAGTGATAACATCTCACCTGACGCCGGACATCCCCCTGCACAAAGATTCAGTAACCTGCGCATCAAACACCCACGAAATTTCATCATCGCAGAGTGAATGATGGTAGCTTTTCGATGATGACAAATTCACTTTCATCTTTCATGACGAAATCGATCAAAACTGAGATGCCTACATGCCAAAACAAATTTTTTCAGTGGCAGATAACAAGCACCGAAGTAACAGTTCTCCTCCTACAGACGAGGAAACACAAAATCTCTATTTTTAGAGTTTTATTTACATAATTCTGGTGCTAGTCCCATTGATCTTTGATGAAATTTCTGTTTACTGACACGTTCGAGAAAATTCTCTACTAAGATTACAACATTCATTACTTTTTACCTAGGTAGAGTTTCAATCTCCTGCTTGCGCGGTCAGTATGGTCATCTCCCTACTTTCCAACGATCGCGCTGATTACCCTTGCACCTTCATATTTACAGAGGCATTAGGTGCAACTCTGGCAGTACGCTTTTGAAATTTAGCTTCGATCAGCTTTGAATTCCAAAGTTGACAAAGCAGTAACATAGTAAGTTATTTACTGCATGTCAGAATTGTCGCTCGTCATCTGTGTTCTGTCCTCGTCTGCGGTTATTGCCATAAATTGACTGAAGATGCCCAGAGGGATTGTTGGAGTGAGGGTATGGCGGGTGTCCTGCTTGATCGCTTGCTAGCTGGAAGCCGATCTCGAAAAAGGTGCGTGACTTTCACAAAAACGACTCTATGTCAAAGAGACACGGAAAAAGTGACCAAGCTTCGTTATGATTCGCCTCAGCCAGAATTCACCTATCAGCTAGCGTCGAGAACACTTGACAGGTCGCCTGAACGTTTGTCAACATCTGAAGGAAGTTCTGATTCTGCTGATGGCTATCTTTCATCATCGTCGCCGTCGTTGGTCTGTTCGCTTGACCGTGCGATTGCGCCCTTTTCCTCTGTGTTCCTCGCCAGTTCGAGTTCCAGCAAAGGGCAAAGGTAGAACTCAATGATTTAGTACGCAGATGCATGCCAGAAGTGGTCATTTAATCACGCGCGGTTTCCAGGCAGGGCAGGCCTTGCAGGAATTTTAATGCAGACCCTCTTCGGTTTCCGGTTCGCGGCTAATATTGCTTTAGAGGTTATGGTTTGGTATTAATGAAAGTCGGTACAGTGATCTTGATCTTCTGTTTTTTTTATTCTCGCTCTTTGCGTGTCCTCGTATGAGTTCGCAGTAATTGCGTAGAGAGAGCCACAGGCACTCGGCCAGCCCCATATGCTCTAATGCCGAAAAAGTGGGTTTTCTTCATTTCAATTTTAGCGAGCGATAGCATGCTATTTCCCGAAGTCCTTTCTGATACTTCGGCGCGAGATTTTTATGGCTGGAGGTCTGCAGCCAGTAAATCTGTTAGTACGTGATTTCGTTGTAGCGAAAACCCTTTGCGTACACTTATTCTTCTACTAATATCGTGCGAATTTTGAAGACCTATATGACACTAGCCCTTCCATCTCAGGGTTACCCAATTGTTGGTAGTTATTATATTTATGAGGGGAGCATACTGCCTTCTCTCATACTGTACCATGGCATGCTATCCTAGGATTTGATCGTTGCTTGATCGCCGTCATGTGCGCTCCGAGGATTAACCCTTGACTAATGCATTTCGTTAATACACTTTAAAATATCTTCAGATATTTGACGCCGGCCGATGTGCGACGAAAATTTACAATCTGAGTTTGCAATTTTAATGTTCATCATCAGCTCATGGTTTCGAGATGCCTCCCTACCATCTGCGCCATGCGGATCTGGCGGAATAGAGGAACAGTCACGGACAATGTCTGCTTTGTGCACTTTGTTCAGCCATTGCTGTTGTATTTTTTCCTCGTTGTTGAAGGCTATAGTAAAACCTAGACTGCAGAGTAACACAGATTTCTCATATCCTACTTTCAGAACTTCTGCAGGTCAAATTTCTTCATTAAATGGCTTGAACTTCCCTGTCGATGTATATCGCTCATCCTGAATGGTCGACTAGCGATGAATAAACCTTCAGGTGATAGCAGGCCTTTGAGTAAGCTACTCCAACCATATAATGGATTTATCGGAAAGATTTGAGCGATCCTATATTTACCTCTATATTTTCAGTCACGTGGAGAAAGCGTACTGACCAGTTCATCATGCTCCTAACATATGGCCAGATGCTAATGACGTATTGCCAGCAGGGCACGATTTATTCGACCTGCATTTCAAAACCACACTTAGAAGTAGCTTACCACTTAATGTTTTCAAAATCATTGTTTTATTGTATAAATCTATCAGTAATTGTTGAATTGTACATGACTGATGCCGTTCGTTTCAGGTGTAAAGAAGCTGTAAAAGACTCTAGATTTATTTCTTAAATACCATTCGGATGGAACCCAAGAAAAGCGAATTGTACCCGTGGCGGCTCCCGTTCGGTTATGGTTCACCAGCCAGCATCTAGCCTTCTGGGAATGGAGAGTTTGACGATTGTGAACAAGAAGGTGTTCAATCGTGTTCTGTGCGAACGCAGACTGATGGCCGCATGTACGTTGGGAACCCTCGTCGGGGTCGTTCTGCTGTTGATCAGCGCCGGTACCTGTTCGTGGGCGATCGTCGAGGTAGCTGCGCCGCACAACCTAACTGAAAAGCTGTTTCTGGGCATATGGGGAGAATGGCAGGTGCTGTACAACGAGAGTCGAGAACTGGAAGGTAGGCGACATTGCTAGAAATTCGGGCCGCATAAAACTACCCTCATCCGGTTCCGTCTCAGTTTTTCTCATTACGTCACTCGTAGCTTGTTAGCCATTAGCCAGATTGGTTTTTAGCTCCAGTCCTGAATTCATTCTGTTCTGTGAGGTTATTCATGCATTGGCATTCGTTTAATGATTCCGTTGCATACGCCTTGCGACCTGAAAACTTGAAAATCGAAAACTTATTCAGTCATTTGATTAAAAGACTTCTGACCTCAACGTGACGTCACCAAACTTGAACAACGTTTGTCAGCTAAGCATTTCTTATGAAAAGCTGTCATTCGCTTGATTTCTCATTGGCCTGACGACGTCATGCAGGTTGCAGCTATGAATGTAACCGTTTCTTTCTAATCCGGTTCTTTTTTCTCATATAGAACGGTTCTTTCGTTTGATCTTATTCATCCTTTCCACTTCTACTAACCACAAAGTCTGCTAGACTGGCTTGTATGAACTGCAGCCACTTGAAACGAGCACACGCCATGGAGAAAGCTTATTATCATAGAGAACTTATGTCAAGCTTATCCTCATCTGCAAGTGAAGCGATGTGTCATGCTGTTAACCTTCCGTTGCGTTGTCTTAATGGAAGGCTTTTCGAGGTTTCTTCTTTAATTTTCTGCATAAAATAATTTTCCGACAGACAGTGGTCCTAAATCTTCATTCTTACTTGCTTATAGCCCTTGTTCTTAGCGATTAGGTACTTTCTAAGGTCTGTTGTTGTGAGATGATAAACAAAGCCTCAGGAGATGCATTCCTCTGTTCACTGCTCGCCCCATAAATTGATGAATCGCAAGGTAGCGATTTTGCTAGCCGGTCAGAATATCCCGAGGGCGATTTTCAAAGCGAACTCTCTTTGATATGTCATAACGCCTGCTGTTAAAGCGCAAACACTCGCGTCTTGTCAAAATCAGCTACACCTTTTGAATAGCGAATACAAACACCTTGATTGATTCTAGCTATGGTTCCCATCCGTCACCACTCCGGAGCTCCGTCTGATTGAATTATGGGATGTGACAGTTAGCATGTTCAATGCGGCTCAGTCTTCTCGCATTATAATTTATTCAGGGGCCTCCTGTATTGTGCAGAACCATTCATAAATCCTCTCGAATATTTTGTTCCCGCCACCCCAAGGAAACAGCTGGCATTTAAAACACACAAGGGTTCAAGGTCTGCAAGGCATCTTGATTATTAAGTTTAAATATATTTATTACTGTTGTTTGTTTGCTTTAAGTGCGTGTTTATGTGCTTATGATTAAGCGAAAGTCAAATTCCACAGGTGACCAAGCAAAAAGGTGTGGAAACCGAAAGATACTATCACCTGCAGACAACGATGCAAAAGTATCAGTTTCTGTCAAACGGCCGTGCACACTGAATCAAACGTCGGTCTACAAGTTCTGTAACGCTGTGTTTTATACTTCAACCATATATGAACCATGCTTCACCTGGCATGCATCTAACTGTGCTGATGGCAGATGCTTTTTGGCCCGGTCAAAATATTGAGGCCTTTCGCCAGAACGGCGACGTTCTCCTTTCCTTCAAACAAAATATAGGTAAAATTTCCAAGGTTATGTAAATGACACAATTTCACTTACCTGCTGTTCTCTAGTGGGAAAAGGGATGTTTTCTGTGCTGCAAAGCACTCAGTTCCCGGGTTTACTACTTTTGCATCTTGCTTAACCCGTCGAAATCAGAGTCAACAAACTACATTTTAGTTTTTTTCCTCGTCTGCAATTCCTTCTACTGCTTCAAAAGCGTTATTCACCGGTGCATCAGGTTCTACATGCACCGGTGGTGCCCATTTTGGTCGATTATTAGATGCAGCTAAGCTTAATATTGTCTGATTCTTTTTTCCGGTTTTTTACCGAAGCATTGTTTATATCTCTTCCAACTACTTTTCTTCTTGTATACCAACAAATCTAAACTTGAGCCACCGCTGTTATGCTTGAAATACGCGGAACATGGCACTGTTGTTGCGGTTGTTGTTAGAAACCGCCATGACCTCGAAGAATGTGGGAAGACATGTCGAAACTGTTGCACTGGTTCAACTCACATGGATTTATTCTTAACCTGAGCAGATGCGCGATGTATATCTTTATTCTTATCAACACGCCGGTGCACCTCTTCAATCGTGCTACGGAAGAAAAAATCCAGTCCAGATTCTGGCCACCCTGGCTACAAACGTGAAGTACCTTGGTGTAGTCCTGATGACAGGTTAACATAATCTTATCACATGGTCTACGTCATCAGCAAAATGAGGAAAGTTAACTTAACTTTCGACGTCTGCGCTCGCTTACAGCTCCTGTTGATCTGTGCTGCCAGTTATCGCTTAGCTTCTCCAGTCTGTTCTGAAGAATGACCCGGAGATGATTTGGCGCTTCTGCGACAATGTGTTAGAGCAGTTGCGAGATATGAAACAGGATCTCGTGACTAAGACCATCGAGCAGGCTGTCTATGACTTTTCTGTCTCCGATGTTGCTAGAAGCCACCCATCATCTTCGCACTGACTTAATATCCTAGTCTAATAACCAATAACTACTCCAAGACCAGATATCATGTTACCCTCGAACTTCCACTACACTTGGAAAGTTCGTCATTCCGAAAACAGGAGATTAGCTGTATAAAAAATCGGTGTTATAGCATTTAATTCGTACTTTCATGATTGCTGCTGTCTTGAAGTTTCATCTGTTGTTTTGTTTAGGTATTGCGTCATAACTTTCTTGCTGTTTTGCACTGTATATATGCGGGTGCTGAAAGTTGAAATGAACATCTTCCTGCATAGCGTTTGTAAATGCTCAGTACTCACAGCGCGTCAGAATATACAGTTATTGACAATTCGATTCGTTTTCGTAAAGCAAACGTTTATTGTCAGACTGTAGAAGGACCCGCTCATTTCATTCGTTGTTCTTTTAAGAGAATCATAGCAGCCTAGCTTTCTGTGACTTCGCAGTTCATACGCGTAAATGGGCTTTGCTTGATTTATTCCAACTTTTGATCCATATAGCCATGAAAGATCGGATTGTTTGTAGGTACTGTGGAATCCACGGCACGTCTTTGATCGAGCTGATCGGTGCACGCGAACGGTTTCTCCAAAACTTGTTTCTTGAACTACTGTCGCTTAATAGATTTGAAAGGGATACTTTCACACCAGGGCCTGAGGAGCCGAATCCTGTGTTAAAATGCCTCATTTGTGTGGAACTATTCGTGTGCCACTGTCCTAACATTTTACGAAAGTATTCCGATGCTTGTGGCACACGCAACCGATGATTTCAGTTCATCATAGAGGCCAGTCACAGTAAATAAATCAGTCAGTGCAATGCCGTACCCACAGGACGAAAAACGGCACAGCGGCTCGCGTATTGACCGAGTCACCTTCATCTTTCCAGGCTAGATAAATGAGTACCATTGCAGAGAAAGAAAGTAAAGACAATGTACTCAGCAGATACTGTGTTCGCCACATGGCTGAGGCTATTGTCTTTAGAAAATTTACTCCTGGTTGGTGACGGTTAGCAACACCACATTAAGCTTCTTAGAAAGAAGGGTGCCATAAAATATATCTTGTATGAATATGTAAAGGAAATGGAATTCTATAAGTATTACTGAAATCTCTACTTTTTTTCCCTTATAAGATTACTCGAATGAATAACCCAAGATAGCCTTAGGGGTGCTATTCATCCAAGATTCTATAGTAACGCAATGCCTTTTTTGATATGAGTGCTTTCTTGTACCCTTTCTTTAGAATGACTTACCAGAACTTCCCAAACTCTTTTCATACTTAATTGCTGACTTGTTTTCCATGATGATTTTATGGGGTTTTTCTGAAGCTCGTACTTACAGTTGCATTTTTCAGAAACGTGGATTCCGCATTTCCCAGCGCCACCTCCTTCGATAAGACGGCTGGCAAATCTTGGACTACAACGTAATTTTTTTCTATGCCTTTTGTGAAAGTGCATTAATGGTGAATGAAAAAATTTTTTATGTTTAACTTTTACAATCTAGCGTGTACTGCTGCCGCTGTTGAGCCTATCTTGCTTCTGTTTAACGATCTTTAAACACGAACGGTGATTCAAGCTTTCTTCTTTCAGAGTGATATATAAAAAATATATTGGGAAATAAAAGCGCTTCACTTCTCCAGACTGAGAAGCCAGAGCTGCGATGGTTTGGGCGCATCTTGCGAATGATTTCAGAAATCGAAGGCGAAACAGTTACTAATTGCCCAATCGACAGACCGACTACCCAAGGGAAGGGCAAGCATGACTTAGGACAAATGTACAGAAGGTCTTTGCTTCGGATTCGGGTTACGGGTTATCTCTTGCCGAAGTTCAAGTACTGGCACAAGATCAGGAACGTTGGAGACACTGTCTGAAACATCTTCCTCCTAGACCTGAAAGTAGTTGTTGTCATCGTCACCTGAGGTATCAGAGTCAAAGTCCGGGAACCCAGAGTAATTATGTCTGACGCTTTGGCTTCTCAGAATGATGTGCCATATTCCTCAAAGCAAGCAAATCCTCCTCTACCAGCTGCTTTAGGGTGCGCTGTTGTCTTAAAATGATGAGTCTGATGAGAATGGTTTTGCATGGATGTCCATTCCGTCACCGGATGGTTCTGTCAAGCCACGACAAACGCGGGTCTGTGATAGAATAATCGAAGCCAGGAAAGCCATCACCGAAGCTGATTTACTAACTGAAGTGTATCAAACCAAAGTAGCGGGCACATTACGAGGCGTGAGCAAGTCTGTGACTTGCCGTACTCTCTAGGACATTTTTAAGGTATACGCTTATTGTAACTCCGCCATGGCCGGTCCCAAGCCCGGATGAGAAAGGAGGAGGGTTGGAGACCGTGGCAAGTCT